CCCTGAGATGACAATGTTCTGCTTTTGGGCTTGGTATGTGTCATTTATGGACTGTTTATTTTGTTTTTAAAAAAGTTGGACTGATTATCTGTTTTGGCACCTCTGATCAAATAATGCCCTTAACCCTTTAACAGAATTTGTAGGCTGCAAGGAACATACTTCAAATACTGGTTTTTAGTAGAGATGTAATAGTTTGAGAATTGCATATCGTGATTACAGTGACCAAATGATCACGGTTATCAGTATTGTCACGGGATGTTAAATAATGCTGATAAAGTAAAAAAGTGACCCCATACACAATTTGCATAATAAAAAATGAGTCTTAAGACAGTGAAAGTAATTGCAATGAGCCAACAACTGACATAAATACAGAGGAGTCTTTATAAGACTTCAAAGCTTTTCTCCTGTTGGAATACTTTTATAACCAATCGACGACTGCCAGATATTAAATGAACAAAGCAAGTTTGGTGGGTAACTTAACTAGGCAACATGTTATCATGTGCAATAGGCGGATAGATACACATGATGCATACAGCAGCAGAACATGTGCTGTTTTTACAAAAAACAAAATACGACCACTACAGACCTCAAACTCCAGAGTGCTGTCACAGCCGCCGCCATCTTTTTACTGACCCTTTTTAATGATAATTAAAATTTGTAACGGTAATACAAACAATAAAAATACAAATTTTACTGTGTTTATCATTATCCCAGCAACCTTTCCATCCCTAGTTAGAAGAAAATTAACTGCCAGCACCCTATATAAATCTTGGAAAATTATACATTTGAATTATACTGAATTCATTTTTGTGCCCATCTCCATATTATATTATTTTATGAAAGTTAGACATTTCTGTATTGTGACAACACTAGCTGGGCCTCCCACTTTATGGCAGGGCCTGCCTAATAATTGACAAATTAATTTATATCATGACACGATCCAATCTTTATTACTTACTAGAGTTTCCCAACCTTTTTTGGCCTGTGACTCTCCCTTTAGGTGACCTGAAGGCTGACAAACTAGACACATGGGTGATAACAAAACTACTGTGGTGATTATGATCCTTACAGCGATGTGAGGCGAATTACACACAACACAACAAGGTGTGTGAAGGCTTACCTGTATAATGTGTTAAAGGCCTTCTCGCAGCCTTGCACATCACTCAAATGGTTTCTCCTTGGTGTGCACACGGACATGAATCTTGAGGCTGTAAGAAGTGAGGAAAGCCTTTCCACAGCCCTGTTGATTGCACACAAATGTGTACTCGCCCCGGTGAGTCTTCTGGTGTGTCCGAAGGTTTCCCGCCGTGCTGTATGTCCTTGTGCAGCCTTCAAACATGCACTGGTAGCGCTTCACCTGATAAATGATGAAGAGGAGGGGGAAATTAGTGGCTAGAATTATTAAATTCAACTGTCTTGAAGCTAAGGAAAAAGACAGCAATGCTTCTTTTAAAATCATTTAAATAGTCTTTAAACTATTTCAAAGCCAGTGAGAAAGTAATTAATATCAGTAATAACCAGCCTTTCCATACGATAAAGTGGCAGTTTAAGTCAGTGTGACCTTTCAGACTGGACTCAATGACTCAGCCACCCGTCAGCACATGAAGCAGGTGAGCACAAAGGACAGCGATGATGACTACAACTGTGAGAGATGGAATCTAAAACCAAAATCCAGAAAATCACATTGTATGATTTTTAATAATTAATTTGCATTTTATTGCATGACATAAGTACTTGATCACCTACCAACAGTAAGAATTCCGACTCTCACAGACCTGTTAGTTCTTCTTTAAGAAGCCCTCCTGTTCTCCACTCATTACCTGTATTAACTGCACCTGTTTGAACTCCTGTTACCTGTATAAAATACAACTGTCCACACACTCAAACAGACTCTAACCTCTCCACAATGGCCAAGACCAGAAGCTGTGTAAGGACATCAGGGATAAAATGTAGACCTGCACAAGGCTGGGATGGGCTACAGGACAATAGGCAAGCAGCTTGGTGAGAAGGCAACAACTGTTGGCGCAATTATTAGAAAATGGAAGAAGTTCAAGATGAAGGTCAATCTCCCTCGGTCTGGGGCTCCATGCAAGATCTCACTTCGTGGGGCATCAATGATCATGAGGAAAGTGAGGGATCAGCCCAGAACTACACAGCAGGACCTGGACAATGACCTGAAGGGAGCTGGGACCACAGTCTCAAAGAAAACCATTAGTAACACACTACGCCGTCATGGATTAAAATCCTGCAGCGCACTCAAGGTGCCCCAGCTCAAGCCAGCGATTGTCCAGGCCCGTCTGAAGTTTGCCAATGACCATCTGGATGACCCAGAGGAGGAATGGGAGAAGGTCATGTGGTCTGATGAGACAAAAATAGAGCTTTATGGTCTAAACTCCACTCGCCGTGTTTGGAGGTAGGAGGAGGATGGGTACAACCCCCAGTAACACCATCCCAACCATGAAGCACGGAGGTGGAAACATATTCTTTGGGGATGCTTTTCTGCAAAAGGATGACGGATGGATGGGGCCATGTATCGTGAGATCTTGGCCAACAACCTCCTTCCTCAGTAACAGCATCGAAGATGGGTCGTGGCTGGGTCTTCCAGCATGACAACAACCCGAAACATACAGCCAGGGCAACTAAGGAGTGGCTCCATAAGAAGCATCTCAAGGTCCTTGAGTAGCCTAGCCAGTCTCCACATCTGAACCCTAGAAAATCTTTGACAGCCCCGAAACCTGAAGGATCTGGAGAAGGTCTGTATAGGAGTGGGCCAAAATCCCTGCTGCAGTGTGTGCAAACCTGGTCAAGAACTACAGGAAACGTATGATCTCTGTAATTGCAAACAAAGATTTCTGTACCAAATATTAAGTTCTGCTTTTCTAATGTATCAAATACTTATGTCATGCATTAAAATGCAAATTAATTATTTAAAAATCATACAATGTGATTTTTTGGATTTGTACCTATGAGTGTACCTATGATAAAAATGACAGACCTCTACACGCTTTGTAAGTAGGAAAACCTGCAAAATCAGCAGTGTATCAAATACTTGTTCTCCCCACTGTAGTTCCTCTAACTTACTGTATTGATCCTCTTAGGGGTAAAAAAATAAAATAAAAAATGAGACTAAAATACTGCATGTTTACCCCTGGTCGTATTAGATGAGGTAGATTAGCATGTGACATTTTTTTATTGTAACGTCTTAGAATAGGATATTTGTTTGGCAAGAGTTGTGGCCGAAATGGCAGCGCAATTTACATTAAGGGAAGACAACTGAAATTACATTTTTATGAGCGGCCTAATGTCACAGCTGCATGTAGGGCTGAACAATTAATCAAATATGACCTACTGCAATTTTTAAATCGCAGGAGGTGCAACACTTGTTAAAGGCAAAATGTGTGTCAAAATACCATTTTAAATTAAATACTGTTGTACTGCAGAGACACATTCTACAAACTAAAGAATACATAGGTTAGGTACAGATCCTTGAAAAAAAAAATAAAAAAATCACACTATAATCATTTAAATATATTTTTCCACCACAAAACACAGCAATCAGCTGTACTTTTGTACTATAAAGTACTATTACAAAAAAAAGAACTCATGTTAAGTCTCTTGACTACACTTAACAAATTAAGGATCATCTTGTTTATGTTATGCGTTTCTGAAAAAAACAAAAACAAACAAAAACAATATTGGCCATTACTTCCTTAAATATCAAAATCGATATCGGTCTAGGAGAGGGGTGGGATTTTTCAGTTGGATACTTTTAAAATCTAGCTGTCTCTTGCTAGTTCTCCAATGTTGCTGACCCCAGCTTTAAGAGATGTTTTTGTCAGTTTGGAAAATAACTGAATCATCAGTTAAAACCCTAAACTGCTCATGCAACTTAGAAGGCTCAATGCTTCACTTCAGGGCACATATGTCAACACACGTAGTTAAATTTTTAATCATACAATGAAAAGGACAAAACCTGCTTAGCTTCTACATATGCAGTGAACGTGATATAAAGCCGATTACATTTCTTTTCAGTCTTACTAACAAACACTAATCTGAGTGATGGGTAGTCTAAGGCCATTCATTTTGATTTTAAGGATGTGGGAGAGATCGTTTGTTAAACAAACATCCATGCAAAGCCACCGTGGGAAGCCTGCTAAAGCTTGTAGTTCAGTACTGTATTCATCTCCCACACCATCGTGACTCTTCTCTCCACCACCAGTTCGATCACTGTGAGAGCATTGTATGCTTTGGTCTCCCACATACAGTGTGAAAGACCACTCCATTACAAATAAGTATTATTTATATACAGTGTTTGCTTGACATTGCTCATTATTAGGTTTTTCCTGACATCTGCTGAAAAGGAGGCTAGAATTTTCTGTTTGTTGTTCCCAGGAAATAGCCCCTCCTGGGTCTGCTCTTCTCTCCTCTTGCTTTCAAAGGCAGGGTGGCTAAAACTGTTCTTATGTAGTACACACTAAATTAAATCTATACAGCATAATTTTGTACCACATCACAGATATTACCAGCAGCACATGAGCGCCACATTTTACTACACACTCCGGATTTTATGTAAAGGCGCAATAGAAAGGCAGTACAGTTTTATGTGCAAAATCAAAATACTATTAAAAGCAGCAAGATGGAGCTTCATTTTGTTAGAGGATTCTTCCATTTCGTGGTGTGTGCACAGCTGTTAGGATATAACATAACTTAACATAACATTCTCCTTCTCCTCCTTAGTTATTTCTTGTTGTTGCTATTGATTAGAATAGTGGGGTCTACAATTAAGATAACTTTCATAGCATAAAAACTTTCTCAGTGTATACAAACTCAGTTGACACTAACAAACTGATCGGTCCTTCCACAATACATTGTTTCAACTCCATTGATTAAACCAACATTTCAGATAAAAAACAGCAGAGGAGAAAAGTGCTCCCCAGTGGGGCTTGTGTTCATTATAATATTAGGTGTATAATATTAAGTGTAATATTAGGTGTGTTATATCCACCTGCTTCAAGACAGCCACCATCATTCCTGTACCTAAAAAGTCTGCAGCGTCTAGTCTAAACAACTACCACCCTGTGGCACTCACCCCCATTCTGATGAAGTGCTTTGAGAAACTGGTTCTTCAGCACATAAAGAACACCATCCAGCCAGCCTGGACTCTCACCAGTTTGCTTTCAGAACCAACAGATCCACAGAGGATGCCATCTCCACTGCCCGCCACTCAGCCCTCACACACCTTGAGAAAAACAACACCTACATCAGAACGCTGTTTGTGGATTTCAGCTCAGTATTCAACACTATCTCCCCCATGAAACTGATTGGTAAACTCAGCACTCTGGGTTTAAATACAACACTCTGCAGCTGGATATTGGACTTCCTCACAAACACACCCCAGTCAGTTCGGATTGGCAGACACACCTCCTCCAACACCAGAGCCCCTCAGGTCTGTGTGCTCAGTCCCCTCCTGTTCACGCTGTACACCAACAACTGCATCCCCCGACATTGAGAGAACTCTATTGTGAAGTTTGCAGATGACACCACCATCATCGGCCGGATTTCAAACAACGAGGACACGGAGGAAATTCATAATCTTGTAGAGTGGTGCTCAGAGAACAACCTACTGCTCAACGTCAGTGAAACTAAGGAGCCGATCGTTGATTTGAAGAAGAAAGAGATAAAGACACACAATCCTGTCTACATCAGTGGAGCTGAGGTGGAGTAGGTCAACAGTTTCAGGTTCCTGGGAATCAGCATCACAGAGAACCTGACATGGTCATCTTACATCTCCACATTGGTGAAGAAAGCCCCAAAACGCCAATTCCCACGCCCAGTTCTTGTCAGTTTTTACAGAGACACATCCTGACTGGAAACATCATGAACTGGCATGGTATGTGGACGGCCCAGGACCAGAGGGCTCTGGAGCATGTGATTCATTTATAAGTGATTCAATATTAATGTATATTGTCTGTTAGGGTTGGGCTGATAGACGATGCCATCGTCCATTGACGATGGCTGACAGACATAACAATGTTGAGCCGGCATCGTGATTGTAAAACCCCCGCACAACCAGCAAAAAAAAATCTCAAATTTTCACATGTGAACCTGTGAAAGCAGGTTTTAATGAGGTCTTATTATTGTTTTTAAGTATGCTTTGCACCTGCCTCGGAATTTTCTTCTCCCCACACTCTGACACACACCTACACCTCAGGTAAACACCCCGGGCTTGCCCTGCCTTTCTCTCGCCCCCCTCTGCTCCATTTTTTCCATCAGCAGTATGTTTTATAAAGTCGCCTAAAAGACTGAGAACTCGTCTTTTTTCCCGTATTTCTACCCGCGATCCCTTATAACAGCAGCAGGTGAGCCACACGTTGGCTTACTGAGGTAGCCTATCAAACAACTGAAACCAACATCTGCACCTTGTGGGTTCACCGTTGCTTTACCTGTTCCGTGCATAAAATATCCACCGCAACTTGTAATGTAAGTTAATAGTCTACCAATTTTTTTTTTACAGAGTGAAGTCTGTGCGAGAACACATGCACACATGACGACTGCTGCTTATTGTGTACCCCGCCAGGAACAGGATTTATCACAAACCTAACAAAATAATTAACAGCCTTTTGCTTTGATGTGTGTGTCACATACAAGAACATTCCTTGATGGGAATATAGTGTGTGTATCATCAGACATTTGAAACAACTGGCTAAAGACAGGACTGGGTTGTTGACCAAGGACTCACTGCAGTCCTTCAGCACCCAGCCTCTTATTCAGAATGAACCAGCTGCTTTACCAGTGCACACTTGCTGTCAGATGATTTTATACTTCCACTAATTAGGGTGGTAGATAGGGTGGTAATTGGGACATGCCAAGGTCTAGCACTGAGTGGAAATGCTGTGGAAGCAGGGTAACATCACCAACAGACATGAGCTGAACTCTTTGGTGCATTGAGGTAGCAAAATCCTTAAACCATCTGCTGCTCTGATTCGCATTCAGCTGAAAGGACTGAAAGGCTTCCACAAACCAAACCAAGCAAGTACATCAACAATAACCAAACAAAACCAAGCAATACTTCAAAAATGACCAAACAAAACCAAGCATTTCAGCAATACCAGATTCTGCTGACTTCTACCCTCATCTGTGTTGTAACTGTTGTGAAAATGATACAACACAAATTGATCTATTGACACAAAAAGAAGCTGCTTATTGAAATCACTGTGCACATGTGTTCATCATACGCATTCAAAGTAAAAGGTAACTGCAGTTATTTAGGCTTACCTCTCTCTGCTTGGTCTCTGGGCACTCAGAGTGCAGGGTGAGGGTCGCCCCCTCTATGTTGCGTGGCATGGGGGTGGAGCCTGGATTTATTGTGAACTGGATCTGGTCTGGAGAAATGGTGTGGTGCACATAACCCTGTGACATGCCATCAGGGTCTGTCATAAAGGCCAGAGACCCCTCCTCCTCATCTCCATCACCTTCCCCTTCAGTCAGGAAGGTGACCCCATCTTCGTCCCCTCCACAGTGACCCTCCTCTTCGCCCTCCTCATCTAGCCGGATGGGGTCCCGCTCAATGAGCACTGTTGTGCGGTCGTACACCCGACCAGAGGACGATGAAGGCTCAGGAATCAGGTCATTGTCTTTGTCGAAGTGGATCTTGTCTTCTTCTTCTTCGTCGTCCCGCCCCAGGTGATCCACCTGGACCTCAAAATACATAGTCGCCTCTGTATGAGGGCCATTCTCACTCATGGTCCTGGTGCCTCTCCTTCCTTGGCAAGGAGGACTGCACCTGAACGTTACAGCCTGAAAAATAAATGAGTAAAATTATTTTGTTAATTTACGCAAGGCAACTTTATTTGTATTGCACCTTTCAAAACATGGCAATTCAAACAGCTTTACAGACAAAATATTATCAAGACATAAGATAAACAAAAGTGTTATGAAAAGACACATAACAGGGTTTAAAGACTAAAATAAAATAGAAGATGGAAATAAGGCCAAATTGAATAAAACAAACATGAGAATGAAAATTACAGTGCAAGATATGAACATTACATTTAATTTAATAAAAGTCACTGCCTAACAGAAATGTGGACCTCACGTTTTCTGGAAGATTGTTCCAGACCTGTGAGGTATAAAAACTGAATGCTGTGTCTCCATGTTTAGTTTGACTCTTGTAATCAAGCCTTTCCCTAAAGATGTGAAAGGTTTGGACTCAGATCTAACATAGCAGTGGACCACACGTGTGATCCTCCATTCAAAATAAAGAGACATTATAGAAACGGTTTAAGTTTATTATCCTAACACTGAATATGCTTCTAGAATGCACTGCATCTTAGAGGCCTGTTCTGACATCCAGTAACAACTACCAACAACTGGCTGGACCAAGCCTCAAGTATGAGTGCTCTCTCTAGAGAGGGGCTTTGACTATGCTAAATGCCAATGTGAATACGTTATACTACTGCTAAAGCAGACTTCCGTGTGTCAATCAAAAGAAAGTAAAAAAGTGCAAGTATTAAAATATTGAGTTTTCTAGTTAAACCCACAGTTAATGACACATTAGCCCTGTTTAGGGGAAACTAACGATACCACGCCGAGATCTAGAACTTTCTGATTTCAATGACATAAGTCACGAGACAGCAGCGGCCAGACTCGAGCTTATTTAACGGCCATGACTGATGATTTTCAATCGATTATAACCAGAGACGGTATAACTCACCTAGCTAGCTTTCGTAAAACGTTATGAGTAACGTTAAGTTAACGTATGAAAGATGTCAAACTCACAGGACAATGCCAGTTAACTGTTCTATAGTCGAGACGGCTGGCTAACGTTTACGCAGTTTAATTACAAACAGACTGGCTTTATAAACACAAATACCAAGTGTACCCCGTTTGACTGACAATGCAGTAACGTTAACTTTACCCTAACCTACCTGTCACGGGACTGGGGTAGTTAGCCCTACACAGTTAGCAGGCTAGATAACAAACCCCTGGTCGATATGACGTTATTCCAAATAATACATATTGGTCACATCGTTATTAGCCTCAGATCTGTCGCTATCGGAATAACGTTACTACAAACAGAAATCAAACAGTAGTTTGTGTACTTTAAATAATATTCTATCATTAATCGCGTTTTTAAGTATAGTTATGTGGCTTTGATTGCAGTCAACCTAACGCTAACGTTCCACATTTCTGTATTTAGCTTGCGGGCGCCAGCAAGCAGCTAAATGAACGTTAGTTAGCTAGCTATACGCTGGCTAAGTCACATATCACTTATTTCTCTACACATGCATAGCTCTGCTAACTAGCAACAATCTAGCTCATAGCTAAGCTACAGAACGAGCTAGTAACGTTGGCCAGTTTACTGTCGATATTACCTATCTTCACTGCAAGGATAACAACTTTCATGTTACCAAGTCATAACCTGCCATGTAAACGCGTAAGTTCATCGACTAAAAGGAAATGACATTAAAATATATTTACCTGGTAAAATGTAAGCCTTAACCCTATGCTTTGGATGTTTAGCACTTTCTTTCTATCCCCTCCCTAGGATACCATACGTCACAGACTCACAACCATTCGTGATGAATTATGGGAAATTAAACATCATTCCTAATGCTAAATTAAAATATCAAACTTTATTCTTTCTAAAGATGTAACTTTTTCACGTTTTTATGTGTGTCAAATGTGTTTAGATAGGCTGAATGCAGGAGGAAGGATATTCTCTCCCTCATTATGAAGAAACCAAACACATTAATTTAGTGTTGATGTATTACAGGCAACATGGACTGAGAATAAAATTTGAATTAAAAATCAGTCACACACAGCTTGTTTCTAACCTTTATATATAAAAACAATATACTGTTGAGATCAGAAACATTAAAATACAAATCATTTTAAAATAAAATATACATTAAAAAGTGTTAGGTCTCTACA